TTGCTGAAGTGATCTGCCTGTTTATTCTTATTGTTGTCGGAATGAAGCGACAGGGAAGTATTTACCCGATAAATCTCGTGTTTACTGCCAATGGGATTAATAGATGGACAAGATTTTAAGCTGGGTGTTAATGGATCAAATAGTTCAAGAAAATAAGGGTGATGGAGACTGGAAGATGCAAGCATACCAAGCAGTCGTGGATCAACTTCGCACTAACTTGGCAATCAATGTGACTAGAGATAATGTCAAGAACCGACTTTCAGCATGGAAGAAATGCTATGCATTGATAAATGTTCAAAAGCGAAGCAGATTGAACTTGTGGGATGAAGATAAGAAGATGATCGTAGTTACAGCTGGTAATATGAGTGATTGGCTATCTTACTGCAATGTAAGGTTCTTTTCCTCTTATGCTCTATTGTGATATGTGACACGACTTTCATATACAGTGATGGGAGTTGGATAGTTGAAGCATAGGTTTCTTTTAATGGTTAGATTTCAGCGGGTTGTACATTCCGCTTCACTATTGATGGAATGAACACCAACGGAAGAAGAGAAGAAAGAAAAGGATTTATTTTTTATGATTGAATTATCAGGATTATAATAGATGTCTTAGTATTACTCTCCTTCTTCTCCCTTTCCCATCCCTTTTACGTTATTATTTTTTTATTATTATTTTTATATATAAGGCCTAAAAATATTGATGGAAAATTATATTTTAGTACCTATATTTTTTCTCTTACATTTTAATACCTAAGCTTTTAAAATTTTACAAATAGGTCCACTGTTAAAGAAACTTCTGGGCCACTTTAAGAAACTTGTGGCTGGGATTTTGTTGTTTGTGGGGTGAATTTTGTGGTTTCCGGAGAGGATTATGTGGGTTGTGTGGTGGATTTTGTGGTTTTTGGGGAGGATTATTTGTGAAGACGGTTTTGTGGTTTGTAGGGAGGATTATGTGGTTTGTGAGGTGGATTTTGTGGGAATGATTTTCCCTTCCCCCATATAATTGCACACGTGACTCCCCTTCACCCCTCTCCCAATTTTTATTAATGACCAGCATGCCCCTCCCTCCCTTCCCCTTATTAATTGTGGTGAACTCATTTAAATAAAAAATGCATCCAAACGAAAATATTACTATTGGTTGGAGCTAGTGTTAGCACCATGGTAACAAAAACAATGTTAGCACACTAACCCAACCCCTGTATGCATTAAGACATTATAATTGGATTATACTTTTATCTTTAATTATAATAATATAGGGCTTGTAATTGGCTACTTAGTAAACTATCATACAGATTGGTCGTATAAGTCGAAGTGTTGAAACTTAGAATATTCATTATATATTGGAATCGAGTACGCACCTATTAACATAATTCATTTAAGATATTATAGTAATTACCCTCTCATAGCAGCAGCTCACTTCCTCCTTCGTCCCAATATCCATATGGCACATAAACTTAATAGATATGAAAATTTAGTATCTAAAACTAATTTTTTACATGTAAGCCTCATAATATTGATAAAAATTATATTTTAGTACCTAAAAATTTTATGTTCTACATTTTGATACCTAAAATTTTAAAATAGGTCCAAGTTTATTAAGTTTTCCAGTCTGACTCGCCACGGATACACCGCGAATTAATCCCGACTAGAGCTTGGGCATAAACTCTAGCGGGGTGCAGCATAGGGCAAATATATTTTAATTGTCAAACCCGGACCGGTCCATGTACCAGTACTTCAATCACTTAAGTTGTTATTTAGCAAAACAGTTTTGGGTTTAAACCTATGAAAACTACAAATGAAAACAAGCAAGTAAAGTAAATCGAGGGGAATTCTATATGAGAGGACCTCACCCGAGTATTGCCCCCAGTCTCATGCTAAGAATCAATTGATGAAACTCTAGTGTGAATGGTATGTTTATATACTGCGAGGCAGATGCAACAAGCTAGGAACGAGCCCTCCTAGTCGACCAATCAAGGATTGCTACAATAAGCTAGCGAACCTAACTCTCTTAACCGCTTGGCTAAGGATTGCAACAATAAGCTAGGAGGCCTTGCTCTCTTAATTAAACAAACCGAGGAAGCCTAACTCTCTTAGTTGACCAACTAAGGATTGTTGCATTAGTTAGTAGACTAACTCTCTTAACCTTTCGTCTAAGGATGACAACAATAGGCTAGACGATCTAGCCCTCTTAACCAATCAACTAAGGGTTGCAAGACCCAACCCTTGAAAGTTAATATGGACGGCGGAGAGCGACCAACCATGATGGGATCATGGTACTATTCCGATACTTGAGGTTTTGGCCTTAGATTAACCCAAAAGGGGTTACCCAAGTGGCTAGGAGATCAAGCTCCCAAAAGGGGGATTTCCACCCTCTAGGTTAATTTAACCCAACAATGAGATAAAGCAAGAAACACCCAATCATTCATGAAAAATACCTCAAATATTATATAAAACACACAATCAACACAATAGAATCGAGTTCTTACATCCTAACACACATCTAGACTAGGATTCACAATACCCAAGTGAGTAGGAAGGCTAATCCATAGCTAGGCAAAGGACAACAACAAAAAGGAGAGAAAGAACCATAGAGAGATGAAACTCTTCCTTCCCTCTTGCATGAATCTCCCTTGAGAAGAGGAGATCTTCAATCCCCTAGCTTGAATCGAGCCCAATCTCCTTCTTCCTCATTTGAATGTCACTTTCTCTCTCTAGAATGGGAAGAAGAAACCCTAATCTCTCACTAGAAACCCCCCTTTATTGTGAAAACTAAAACCCTATCCAAAGCTCTCCTTCTTCCTCCTTTCAACTCTCTATTTATACCTAGTCGCGCCCAGTTCACGATCCCAGTTCATGGCCGAGAACATCAGGTCGGGACGGTGAACACAAATCAAAACGCTCCATGGCTCTAGTTCACGGTCTTACGATCGTGAACTGCCTTGGCGTCAGTAACCTCTGAAAATTCTCTGGATGCTCTGTGGTTCATGGTCGTTGCGACCGTGAACTCACTGTTTGGACCGTGAACTGCGGCTACTTTCCTGGGCGCCCGCACTTTAGGTCACGGGTGAATTGGCACGGTCGCCTTTGGACTTTTCTTCGATTTTTGCGTTTTTCGACCTCCAATCGTCTCGAAACTCGTCTTCGACTCTTCCATACGTGCTAGGACCTGAAATGTATCAAAACAAGCACAACCTAGTGTGAAATATATCGAGGGATGATGAAATGAAAAGCCAAACTATCAAGAAATGAGGGGTAAAATGTGTACAATTGGAACCGAATCACATTCTGATTTAAGAAGCATGAGGTCTAGCTCCATAAAAAAAACTTGAGGTCTAGCTTATGAGGTTTTTGGTATGCTTTAAGAAACTTGTTGTATGCTTTAATAAATTTGTAATATGTTTTTATGAGGTTTCTGGTATGCTTCAGCGAACTTGAGATATGCTTTATGAGGTCAGTGGTATGCTTTTAGAAACTTGTGGTATGCTTTAAAAAACTTGTTGCCTACTTCATGGAACTTGTCGTATGCTTTAATAAACTTGTGGTATGCTTGATGAGGGATTTGGTCTACTTTAGAGAACTTGTAGTCTCCTTTTATGAGGTCTTGTGGAATATTTTTATAGACTTATGATATGCTTTAAGAAACTTGTGGTATACTTTATGAGGTTTCCAGTATGCTTCATGAACTTGTGGGCTGCTTTATGAGCTTTCTCGTCTGTTTTTGAGGTTTCTGGTTTACTTTTAGAAACTTGTGGTCAGCTTTGAGGTTACTCCTATCACTACAAGAAAAATACCATTTAATCATGGTATATCCCATGTTTGAAAGTGCGTTTCCCATGTTTGATTGTTTTTTACACTGGAAAATTACCGTAATATATACCTCCGTGTCTAATTGTAAAGGTCACGGAAAATTTGTACCATGACTAGTTATAACTACTCACAGTATAATTTCCCATAATAATTTATACCTATTAATCACGGGAAGCCACGCGACTAATAGCATGTTTTGCCGCACAACCCCACGAAAAACATACATTTAGAGACGAGATGTAAAGCTTTTAACTCGGTGTTTACCATGAGAAAATTGTTTCCCATGACTAAATGTCAACCATTAGTCACAATATTTGGTTGATTCTCCCATGTCAATATTCTAACATTTGGTCATGGTATTTTGCACCTAATTACCAACCACTAATCACGATACTTCCCACGATAGATAACCACTAAAGAAATATTTTTCCTAATTAATCAAACCTGATTTTTTCTTATTTGTGCTCCATGTCGGAGTTCGAAGAGTCTGACCAATGAAATGAAAATAAAAGAATTTTAAAATTAATGTCTCTTAATAGCCACAACCTAATAGTCATTACAAATGATGCCCTTAATAAAACAAAAATAAATATAAATAGCTTTTACATGAATTTGTTATCCCATTGCAACGGGAGAGGATAGGGTGCTAACCCTATAGATGGTTAGAACCGTGATAACTAGCTTTAAAATTTAATTTCTACGAATATAAAAAGGGCACAAAAGGAAGACAAGGCAAAAATTTGAAAAGCGGATTTAATGCTGAATTTTGTGGGAAGTGGGCCGGATTTGTTGGGATTTCTGGTGCAGAGCGTTGTTATCCAACTTTTGGGAGGAGAGTTTTTCCCCAGAAAACACTAATTCAATCAGTTCATTCCAGTTGTGTAGCCTTCATTTGATTGTAGCAATTACAATGGCATTAGTAGTGTTTTCTAACTAAATTCATTTAAACAGAAAGTTATGAGAGGTAGATATAGGAAAGAGTTTGTGGTAGTGTTTTCCAACCAAACACTACTGACTATGGTGACAATATTGCATAAAAATACAGTCACAACTAGTGAAACCACTACCTCAATCAGTTCGAAAATCACTACGTACTAGGTAATGAATCACTAATGAATCACTCATTAACACGCAAAAAAAATTAGGAACCACCTTTTGTACTCAAAAGTCAAGTGAACCGCTACTGTCACAACAAAAACACTACTAGTTTAGTCTAGCAGCATTAGCAAACCACAACTGGACTCAACCACTACTACATGAATTAGAAAACTACTATTGCAGTGAAAGCACTACTGTAACAACAAAATCACTACTAATTGCTTCTATTATGATTGGCAAACCACAAGTGGACTTAAATCAATACTGCTGTTAGTGAAGCCACTACTGTAACATCAAAATCACTACTACTCAAGGCTAATTCTCTTCATCTCGTGTCCATCCTAGACAACACTAACCAAAAACATTGAAAGGTGCCAACTTTTACGTTCTCTTTATCCAAATTTTGCTCCATTCACTCACTGATAAGCATTTGACCTCCTTGCATAGACTAACCCTGCAATTTCCACCTTAGTAGTGATTTAGTGATGTCTACCTGGGCGCAAACACGAGCGTAGTCGCTGCGAGCTCCCATACTAGTGGCATGGTCCACATGAATTGGTTTCCCGATGCGTCCCCCAATTCTCATAACTGCGACTGGATGGAAGTAGTGGATCGGGATCTCCAATAGCCTAGCCCAGACCAGTGTTGACGAGATTGCATGCTCGTATGGATTAAACTCTGGGGTCCATTGATGCACCGTGAGATATTTATCACCCACTAGCCAAGGTCCACCCGTAATCGCACGCTCGTAGTCCATTCCGCTAGTGAAGCGAACAAGGAAGTACCCATTCTTGGCCAACGTAACTTGAATAGTCCCTTCCTCTGCCCAGATGCTCTGGACTCTGGAGCCTTCTATCCATGAGCGTATAGGAAACAGACTGTCCGAGAGCCTTAACAACAAGCGCGGACCTCCATTGTCTACAGAACAGCCTTTCTTCTGCCGTCGTGAAGTGAATCGGTGGGAACCTAGGATCTTCTGAATCCGAGTCCGCAGTGTACCACACATCTGTTCTCACTGCGTCACTAAATAACCTTTTCGCCGCCCCCGCGCCGAGTCCTCATGCAGTCGAGCAGGGGGAGGAAGTATCAGGGATGCTGTGGTTGCCCATCCCCCCATCCTCGAGCATCTCATCACGGTCGGGGTTATTGTTTGGTATTATCACCTTAGCTTTGGCTCGCTTTTTCGTTTGCTGGGATTCTCGGTCCCCTTTGGGGTTGGGGGAAGAGGATTGAGATGGTGGTCGACGCTGACTGGTCATTGATTCCGGTAGCATGGCACTGTTCAAAGTCCCCCCGTCTAGCGGCATGCCTACCGCCAGCATGAGAGATGAGCAAAACCCTAGCTTTCGTCGACAAGGGGAGGATCGCCACTCCTAAACTTTCGGAGTGCAAAAAACTGTTGGACTTCGTCAATTCATCACTAATTCGTTCTCTTTGTTCTTGTTTTAGTCTGGAAGGAAATAATGGGGGAAGGAAAAAAATATTATGAACGAAGTTAGGGAGGTTTTTCACCTTGGTGTAATTTTCGATCCAAAATTAAAAGGATGAAATTCTCTTCAAACATTTATTAGGTTTTTTCCATCTTTATTTTAACTACAATTCAGAAAGGTAAGTTGTTACATTGTTCACGGTAATTAATCGTGACTAACAATTAATCACAGGAAATGAAGACTGAAAAATAGGTAAACTAATTCAGTGGTCTCCTTTTATGAGGTCTATGATATCTTTTTAGAAACTTGTGGAATGTTTTAATAAACTTATGATCTGCTTCAAGAAACTTGTGGTCTCCTTCCGGGAACTTGTGGTATACTTTATCAGGTTTCTGGTATGCTTCAAGAATTTGTGGTATGCTTTATAAGCTTTCTCGTCTATTTTTTATGTTTCTGGTCTACTTTAAGAAACTCGTGGTCAGCTTTGACGTTACTCCTATGCTTTATGAATTTTGCGAAGGTGATGTTTTGATATGCTTTATAAGCATTTTGGTCTACTTTATGCTATTTATGATGTGGTTTTTTGTATTTTTTGTCTGTGTTTTATGGTATGCTTAATGATACTTGTGGTGAGAGCAGGATGAAGTTGCGTCACACACTCGCACGTGTGTCATCCTAATTTTTAATAGTGACACGCGTGCCCCTCCTTTTATAAATCTGCTTTAATTGTGGCAACCCCTTGGAATAAAAAAGTCTTAAAAAAGAAATGTCTCTATTGGCAGGAGCTAGTGGTAGCACCATGCTAGCAAATTGGGTGTTAGCATCCTAACCTCTACGTAAGATCAAAATTCAAATGTTTAACTTAGAATTTCAAATAAAAAATTTAAACTTTCAAGCTTCAAATGTTGAACTTAATACGTCTAGTTATTTCAAGATTGTGAAATCAAATAATTTGTTTTGCTTAATCCTTTTCTCTCAACACTCAACTAATTGAAAATTTGTACCTTTACGCAACAACAAAATAGTATGGGTACTCCACTGATAAACTTCATTAAATAAATGCACAGAAGAATAAAATCGCTTCCTTCCGTACTAATAGATAGTGGCAAAGGAAAGGGAAAACAAAAAAAGAAAAAAGGAATGAAATTTGAGGAATATTTTTTTTGTCATAGATATATCATTAATAGATAGGGTATTAATTATAGAGAATTGAAAAATAAATAGCGATAGTCAACCAAATGTTGATCTACCGATGCAATGATCATTTCCGCCACGCAATGGGCAACCTTGTTTTCCCTACGAGGGGGAAAGACAAAAAGAATAAAAGAAAATGAACTCTTCATTCGCCGAAACTCTTCAAGCACTGCAGCAGCCCGATCATGGTGGGCATCATCCTCCAAAATGCGTCGAATGACCAATTGCGAGTCCTCGCAGAAACAAACAGAAGAAAAACCATGATTTAGACAACAATCCATTGCATTGCGAAGAGCTAAGAGTTCCATTGTGAAAGGGTCAAACAATCCGATATAGAACTTACTTACACACAAATCAACGACGAGTCATTAGAGAAAACAACAAAGCCTACGCCACCTCCCAAGTCTCTTCCAAGGGCGCCATCAAACCTAACCAGCAGGCCCCCTTGTGGACAAGTGGGAGTTGTTGTCGAATGCGGAATATGTCCCGCAGTGTGCCCGTGAGGAGGAGGGCGAGAGGCTATCTGCCATTCAACAAGTTGGGCTGTGTATCGGTGAAAGAGAGGGTGCGGGAGGTATTGGCGGTGATCATAGGTTGTCCAGCAGGGTCCCTTCCAAATCCTTCATGCTAGAAATAGCAATTCTCCAATCTCGATTTTATCTAACTGCATGGAAAAGAAAATCTGATGCCAAGCAAGGTCAGCAATTAAGTGGGCAACATATTGCCTAAGATGCTCCTTTCCAGCCAATATCCAAAGTAAATAAGCTATCCTCCAACCAAACAAATAGTTAATAACAGATTCAGCCGCACCCGAACAAACATGACAAATATTCGTGGAGCTAAAAACCTAGCATGCATAATAACTAACAACGGAAGGAAACCACACACCACATGGAGGAATGATTAGGCTCCAAAGACATTTCCAAAATTGAGGAGGAAGGGAGTCAAACATTCCTGATCGTGATGCAGATAGAAGTTGATACCTGGTCTTTACTATATATTGGATGATGAAAGACTAGTGCCAAATGAGTTTATCTGCTGAGGAGAAGAAGGCAAGGGAATGGATAGAATCCATTGTACACTTTTAATAATGAAGGATTCTCGGAGCAGAGTCTCATTCCAAGTGCAGGTCAGTGGATGTATAAGAGATGTCACATACTGGTTTGCCAACTAGACTCCTGGCAAAAGTGATGGTGACGAAGGAAGAGAGGTGGGAAGCCAAGGATGGGAGAGGATGTGAATGGTTGTCCCACAGTCCACTTGCTAGCGAAGGCCCTTTTGCAGAATATTACGGCCTTCAAGTACCCCCTGCCATGCCTAGGAAGACTGGGTGCCTGCTGGAGCCCGAAAAAAATACATCGAGGATGATACCGAGCCTTATACATGCAAACGAGAGTAGAATGGGGAGAGATCAGTACCTTTCAAGCCTGCTTAGCTAACATCGCCATGTTGAATAGGTCGAAATCTCTAAACCCCAAACCACCGTGAAACTTACTAACACAGATGGTTGACCATGATATCCAGTGCATCCCACGAACTTTGTCTAAACTAGTGGAAGGAATTCAAAAAGAGAACATAGTGTACACAAGAGAGTGACTCGATCTAACTACAACATCCCAATCGCCGACCAAATATAACCGGAGACCGGGTGTAGCATAGGGCAAGCAACCAATAAGAATTTATCATACCACATGGATCTAGGCTTACCCTACTTCTGGTTTAGGGTTCGCTATCTAGCCAACCTAGAGTAGCAATTAGGAAAACTAAGCTAACTAACCTAGACTAACCAATAATCTATTTATTTAAAAGGTTTGGAGCTCCCTTGGGTTAAATCCCCCTATTTCCGGCCTTTGGATCGATGTTGAGTATTCTCCTAGTTCGATCGACCCACTATCCTACCGTTAGGAGATGGACTCCATCCGGAATGACCCGGAATGGCGAATCGATGGATGGGTAGGATCTCTATTTAACCTAGGGCACCTCTATATCTTAGGAGATTGATCCAATCGACTCCTCTGGGATTACCCGAACGATATGGGGTGAGGAGTTGTTTCCCTCCTACGTCAAAAGCTCAATTGACTCAATTACTCTACCGTTAGGAGATGGACTCCCTCGGGAATTACCCGGAATGGCAAATTGATGAATGTGGTAGGCTCTATTCAACCTAGGGAAATCCTATATCGTAGGAGATTGATGGAATCGACTTCCTCGGGGGTTACCCGAACGATATTGGGTGAGGAGTGACTTGAAGACACCAACAATTGGCTCTAAGGGGATTGTCTCCCTCCTAGGTCAAAAGCTCAACTCATGTCATTCATGAAAACATCCATCAAGTAAGTGAAATCATCAATCAAACATGGAATGTGTTACATACATCAACATTAAACCCAAATCTAGACCTAGGGTTCTTAAACCAAGAGAAGAGGGTGAGTTTCTAGAGAGAGAAGAGAGAAATTACAAATTGGATCCCAAGATCTTCTTCTTCTTCTAGGCTTGAATCCTTGTCTTCAAGATCAAACCAAGCCTCCAATTAAGCCCCAAGATCACTCAAGTATTCTCTCTCTCACTAGAACTCCCCTATGGTGTTTTGGGTTGAAATCCTAGAGAAAGAGAACTATTCCCTCTCCAAAAACCAGCTCCCCTTTCTCTTTCCCCACTGTTATCTTTATATTTGCATGACAGGGCTCAGTTCACGGTCGCAGACCTAAGTTCACAGCCGCGTTGATCAGGTCACGGTCTTAGAGACAGTGAACTGACGACTTCACGGTTTGGATTTTAGTTCACGATCTTAGAGACCGTGAACTGACCTCTTTCCAGTGACCTATAGAACCATTCTGGAAATTGGCTCACGGTCTGGGCATTCATTTCACATTCTTATAGCATGAACTGAAGCTCCAGCCCATGAACAGGGCTCAACCTCCACTTTTTGGCTCGTTTTTCGTATGACCTGAAACTCATCCCGAACCTTCCCACACATGCTAGGACCTGAAATGTAACAAAACAAGCACAACCTAGCGTAAAATAGGTCGAGGGATGGTTATCTACTAAGCATAACAGACAAGAAATGAGGGGTAAAATGTGTACATTTGGACCCGAATCAGAGAGGCGAACCCAACAACTTTGATCACAACCTCATTTGCTGCCAAAGATAGCGCTTTGGACCGCCAACTCTGAATGCGTGTGGCCAACGCATCTTCTACAAATTGGAAAGTGAGAACCTTGGATCGTTGTACTTGAGCTGGAAAACCAAGGTACATGTCTAAGTGACCAATGGATAAAATGCCCAAGAGAGCGGCCAACCCCTGAGCTTCTTGATTTGAGACATTAGAGATGAAGCACATTGTTGACTTCCTCATACAAACCCAAAAGATGTAGTAGGTGCTAACATTCGGTGGAGGAGGCACGTAAGAACAGATAAGAGTCATCGGCAAAGAAGAGATGCGATGTGACTAGGGCATGTCGATGGATTTTCAGGCAATGCAGTTGCTTGTAATCTAAAGCATTGGCTAACAACATGGAAAAAGCTTCAGCATAAATAGCAAAGAGGAGAGGGGATAGTGGATCACCTTGCCGAATCACCTTGAAATTATGTAACAGTCGCCATGATCTAGAGAAATGTAGTGCTTCTACACATACCGAGTTTGACTCAACCCGAATGCACCACTTAAAAACTCCCGATTGAGGCCCAAGTATAAACCTTAACCGGGTGTAGTACAGGGCAAGCATGTCTAAATATCGACCTGGGCCGGTTCATGTACCCCTACTTCAATTCAAAAAAATGTACCCGTACTTAGATTTTTTTGTAATATTATCTAGCGGTTGGTTTTTGGTGAAAACAACAATCTAAAGTTAAAATACTTGCTAAGATAAATGGATTTTGACACTAATTGAGAAGGCTTCACCAGGGTGTTGCTCCCCTTAGCTAGCAGTTATGGCTTGATGGATCGAATGAGCGTGTGTGGTGAGGGGGTTGTAAACTGTAGGGAAGTCTAACAAGTAGCCAAAGCCACCCTTTTATTCTCTAGGTCGAGGAAAGGGGATACGATCAAAGCCACCAATGTGACTCTCTCAACCTATTGACAAAGGATTGGTTAGACTTAATTGTCGAATCGGAGTTCGGACGGCTACACACAACCAAACCCTAGGTGCTAATATGAAATATGAGGTTTGCCCTGCGTTAACCTGACAAGGAGACAATGAATTGCCTAAGAAAACCCAACATTCAAGCCTCTTTCAAAGAAAGAAAGGGGGTTTTCTCTCTACCTAGGTTAGAATGGCAATTAGATTGATAGGCTTTCACACAACACAATCATTCA